TCTGATTGTTCGATTCGAATCAGCTATGCACTAAGATGCTAGGTACCATGCCCATCCCTATATACTAAGTACTACCGTACTTAGAGATAGGGATTGGCATGGTACTAACGACGACGAAACACTCCCTGTGGAGCTGGTACATATATATATACATACACATTGTATATATACATACACACATAGATACATACATACATACTTACAACAATCTTCAGATTCAACACCCATAACTCAAAAACGAAACAACATATAGTAATGAAATTTTGTAAGGATGTCGATATCCGTCACCCGAAGAGACTGGTCATACTTATGCTGACTTTATACAAACATCCACAAACATAGTTTATGGTACAGATGTGGTTTTGAGAGACATTCTATCGAACTTAGAGTTAACAAGAAAACGTTCTCCACATAAGTGAATGGCAAATCAATGAATATGTTACCTGATCTTCAGTGTATCAGGAGTTGTTGTTTTTATGCCAGGCTAGCTGTTTCAGATTGCTGGTGCAATAGCAGAACAGATTGTAAAACATGTAACTAGTTGTTATCAGATGGCTGATGCAATAGTAGAGATTGTGAAATGGCAGACTGTAGGATGGCATTGTGAAATACTAGATATACTAAGGTTGCTGATGGATCAGTGGAGTGGATACATTACATCACTAAAACAGTCATAGTGACAGTTTTTGAGTCGGAGAGTTGCAAGCTATAAAAGTGAGTGGTAGAACAGGATTATATATCCATCAGTTCAGCTTTGGGACAGAGCATAGAAACTGAATAGAGTAGTGAGACCAATCAGAGGATTACATGAGACCAATCAGAGCATTGCGTGATCAGAGCAGCAGAGCAATCAGAGCAGTGGGACCATCAGAGCAGTGAGACCGATCAGAGCGGTGAGACCGATTGCAGCAGTGAGACCGATCAGATATGGCAGTGTCTGAAAAATTTATGGAGGATGTCATCATAATAGGTGCTCAGAAGTTTTTCTCGATGAATATATGTATTCTTTGTGGTGAAGAAGCCAACAAAACTGATACGAAGGTGCTTCTGCTCATCGAAAACAGCACGAAGAGAAAATATTGTGTCATCCATGATGTGCCCACACCTAACTGTGATGCGATGGGTACAAAGCTCATCCGAATACAATACAGATGCTTTAATTGCATCCTCAGTTGATAATTCAGGAGCACTGCAGAATGAGAGGTACATACAATTGCACAATACAAGCTACTGGGTTAAGACCAAAATTATTTAGGATCAGGCTGTGCATCCTGTATTGAGAAGTAGCTGGACGGCTGGGTTCGATGTCCACTCTGACTCATCAGAGATCAGGTTAATAAATGACCTGTAGTATATGTAGTGTTATGCCCTGAGGACCTACGGGCTAGTTCTCCTCAGATCTCTAGCGCCATGTCTCTAAGGCATGCACCATCAAAGAGATAGCTCAGCAATGATTACAACACGCATGCGCAGCAGCATACACACACGAGATACACTATGCATGACATGACAATGTCCATAGTGGCCAATACCACATCTCCCCCACCGGGAGATCTGTTCACAGTTAACTCCAACTTGGGTCGTACCGATCAGGTGGTCTCCAAGTTCGTGTACTCCGTGTCCTCGAAGGTTGTTCGGAGTTCTGAGGCTCGATTTCGTTCTCGGCCCCGGGTCGATTCGTTTTCGGATATTCGAACGAGATGCTGTCTATTGCGGCGATAAGTTCCGTCTGCTTTGGGAACTACCCCCCTGCTAGAACACCAGTCGGGCTACGTACCCTCCTCACCACTCCCATCTTCTCCATGCGTTCAAGCTCAGCTTTGACTTTGGGTAACAATGGGATGGCAATGCGACGTTGTGTAGACTGAGCATAGGGATAAGTGTCATCTCGGAGGACAATCTTGTATTCTTCCTCCAGCTTCCCCAGGCTGCCAAAGAGCTTTGGAAATCGAGTTTCATTGTCAGTCTTCGTCTGCACTGCGTTGACTCTCTGAACCAGCTTCGATCGTCGGACGTCCTAGTAGGGAGCGGCTGAGATTCTTGACAACGTACACCTCCTCTGCAGTTTCCAGGTGTTTGTACTTGAGAGATGCGGTGAACTGTCCGCTCACCTCCAGGTTTTTGCTATTGGCCCCACTGAGCGTCTTCGTGGGTGGTTTTAGAGTAGAGTGAGGGATGTTTTGATGAACGGTCTTGGAAATCACCGTAACATCTGCTCCCGTGTCTATCTTGAAATCCACTGGAGTCCCGTTCACCGACAGTGTAACAGACCAGGGGTTGGAACCCTGTGACTGCTGTACCATACCCAGGAAGCCTGTGTCCTCTGAATCCTCCGATTCAGTTGCAGCGATAGCTTCGACTCCCTTGGTACAGCACATTGACTGGAAATGACCCTTCTTGCCACATTTATGGCAGGTCTCCTCCCTGGCTGGGCACTGCTGTCTGTTGTGGGCAGGACTCCTACCACACCCTGTGCACTTCTTGGGTTGCTGTTGTGTTCCAGGTGGAGTAGCGTTGCGAGGCTTCCAGCTTGATTTGTAGGGTTTCTTCCTCTGCACATAGTCCAGCTCTGGCTTGTCCTTCGACTTGCCCTGTTCTTGGAAGTCGTTTCTCAGAAGCGATTGCTGCTTTATGATGGTCTCGTCCTCGCGCGCCATTCGCACGGCCTTTTCTAACGTGAGGTCCGCGTCTCTCTGCAGTTTCTCAGATAAGGATGCGCTGCGTAGACCAACGACGATACGATCGCGTATCAGTTCATCATGAAGAAGACCATAGCTACAGTGTTCCGCTAGGCGATACAAATCCATGATAAAGTCGTCAACTGGCTCACCTTCCTCTTGTTTCCGCCGATTAAACTTCGCCTGCTCGAAGATGAGATTCCTTCGCTTCACGAAGTATCCCTGGAACTTTCCGACGACTGTAGCATAGCTCTTTCCCTACTCCTCCGTCAGGCGAAACGAGCTCAGGATATCCTCTGCTTCATCTCCCATCGTGTAGATGAGCGTGTGGATTTGGCTGACCTGCTCCTTTTCCGCTAGGCCTGGAGCTTTTCGAAAGCGTTCGAATTGCCGAATCAACTTGATCCACTCCTCAGGTCGAGAGAAAGTGATGTGTTCGGGTGGGCTGATCCGGATTTCGGCCATCTCGGTCGCCTCGTGGTCTCTGCGGTTTGTCTCTCTTCCGCGAGTACGGCTCGAAGCCCGCCCCTTTTCTGGCAGGTAGGCGATAGGATGGGTTAGGGCACCGCTGCCACCATGTAGTGTTATGCCCTGAGGACCTACGGGCTAGTTCTCCTCAGATCTCTAGCGCCGTGTCTCTTAGGCGTGCACCATCAAATAGATAGCTCAGCAATGATTACAACACGCATGCGCAGCAGCATACACGAGATACACTATACATGACAATGTCCAATACCACAGTATACTTCAGTTGACATGATACACCTAAAGTTTCGCATTCTCTTTTCTCCAGAACCAGGCTGAGGGACTCGGGAGAGGGAGCAACAGGACTTGAACAAGGGCTATTCTCGAGATGAGCTGGTTGTACATCAGTTGTCGGTGACTTCTCCACAGGTTGAGAAAAACATTATCGTTTGGCAGAGGGAGCATCATCCCTTTTCCCCAGTCTAAAAAACCAGGCATGGAATCCCTGATTAATGCATGATGTCAGAACTAGGCTATTGTAGTAACCTGCTTTCCAAATGGACTAGGTACATCATCATGAGTTATCCTTAGGGACCCTAGAATATGTCCTAAGGGACCCATTGCGCCGTCAGAGGGGGCGTGGCATATCGCGATCCCTTAGGACGCATAAAGTACCCCCAAGGACTTCTTATAGGACCTAAAGGCTTCCTGAATGGACCCTAGGGACTTGCGCCAGTAACCCTAAGGATGAACGATCCCTCAATCGTGCTATCCTTAGGGTCCTCTGAGCTAAAGCTCCCCAAGGGCGTAGCCTTGGGGTCCTTGCGGGCCCGAGAATTGCCGCGCGTTCCGCGCCAATTTAGAGCATCGCACAGCATTAGGGACATTTATATGTCTTAAGGGTTAATTAAAGGGGCTAGAGCGCATTAAGGGTGGTTAGGGGAGTTTGGGGCAGCAACGAAGCTAAGACTAGGGCTAGGGCTAGGGCGTCCCAAAACAAGATGATTTTCTGGGATTTTGGGACAATTCCGGTATACGTTGCTTAACTCCCACGCAATGAACCGCGCTTCGCTTTGCCTAAAACAGAAGCGTTCCTCGATCCCTGGACGCTACGCAAGTTTAAAAAAACGGTGCAGTTCAACGTTTCCCGTACGAATAACCTTACGTTTAACGGATTATAACAACTGCGCAATAATATCTTTTACCGAAACCTACCGCGCACGCTCTTTTCAGCTACACCCACAAACAGCTGCGTGGGTGTCGAAGTTTTGTCCGAGCTACTGTGCGCAAAAGGAAGTTTTCTTCACCCATATACTCCACACTTGTGAAGCCATACCCATCAGCTGTCCGTAGCAAGAGTCCCAGTTCTGGTGCGTTTTTCCCCGTTAAAATATGGACCAATGATTATACATCATTATAAAACAGTAAAGTATGGAAGAAACAGCAGAGTTACTAGGAAAGCATTGTAGGGTGTGTGCAGGGAGGCTTTAGCAGGCAAAGAGCAGGTCCACCTCTTTCTTGGTCACCAGTCACAAACAGCACCCCACACATTTCTGTAATAGCTGTTACAGAAAAATGAAGAGAGTGTGCACACATAGAGCATCATCAACACCATACGCACCAACTCTTGGAATTATTCAACTGGACACCCTACATGATGGAAGCATGCCCTGTGAGAAAATTAACCTTACTGCATATACAATTGCGCGCTACATAATACATGGGACCATTTCTGCAAGCTTGCACGTGGAGGTATATAGGGGGGAGGAAATACGTGGCGAGAGGGAGACCTAGAGGACTATATAACGCCAAAGGCTGTGATTACCCACATCATGCAATGAGATCGCCCCTACCAACATGCAGCAGCACTACACCTCACTCGTCTCTCATGTGTCCTGTGTGCATGGAAGTGCTGATGTCACCAGCCAGTTCCTGGGCCACTACAGGACCTCATTCCCCCATGCAACAGTGATACCAAAAATGCATCTCCTAGAGGATCACGTGCTTCCGTGGCTGAGGCAATGGAGGTGTGGCTCGGGATTGATGGGAGAACAAGGAGCCGAACAGATCCACTCTCACTTCCACCACTTGGAGAACTCCTACAGATGTATCAAGGATCCACTGCAGCCACTGAATTACATCATGCACCAACACATGCTGCAAACGACCACAGAACTGAACATCCTACAGCCCCCAGTCAAAAAGAGGAAGAGTTGCTGAGTCCGACAAACATTACGTACATAGTGCACTTACCGAGCACGTCTTGTCCCACAGAAAAAATGCACTGTCTTGACTTGAACTGTCCCTTCCAGAGATGGGATTAGACGTTCTCGCAGTACAGGCAAAAGCGCAGGAAAAACTTCACGTGGGTAGAAAACCGGCGTCTAATATGAACAACTCCGCTGCCGAATGGACACGTGTTACTCAAAAACTGCTTGGGCTAACTTCACCGGACAAAGACGGGGGCCACTACTGGGCCATGTGCTAGGGTCTAAAAGGTGGAATGGAGTGTTTTCATCGTTTGTATGGAATTAGGGCCAAACATTCCGCCTGTAAAACGGTTGCTAGGACGTTGCTACGGACATGTATGCGGGGAAAAATATGTGTCCGAATGTCCGCGAAATGTATTGCGTGAAACACGCGTGCTTCGCGCGCAGTCTCCAACGCCCCCAGGATCCCGCTTCTGAATCTCCTGCTGTCTCTACTAACCCTCCATCATCCGTAGTGGCTAGTTCCTTGCCCTCACTTACCACCATCCTCCAGACCTATATTCCCACTCTGCAACATGTCCCCAAAGGTGCGAGGGATTGCTGGTCCAGGGCCCTCAGCGATTGCCTTCTCTCGGTCGCCAACAATCCAGCGGACCTGACATATTGGTGTAAGCTGTTCATGCTGTTCATGCAAGTGTGTCTTGGCTAGCCCTGCTGCTGGACATCGGCTACCTTGGCGTGAAATCCTCCAGCAAGTGAGGTCCCGGCTACGAAGATGGTCGGCCGGTGACCTGCTCTCTCTGTGGATGGAAGCGGTTGACATAGGTCAGACTATGTCTCGACGTCTGAACTCGACCGGGGCTTCCCCCTCTTCGCAACGTAATCACAATGCAAGGTGGGCGAGGAGAGCTGTCCAAGATGGCATATACAGCAAGGCAATCAAAGCCCTGACCTCTGTGGGCCTTGCCTCGCCCTCTCCAGAAGTGCTGAAGGAGATGCTGGAAAAGCACCCACAGGCTCCTTCCCCCCTGATCCAGTGCCTCTTCCTTTTTCTCAGTCTGAGCCATCCGTTCTTAACGCAGTCAAATCTTTTCCCTATGGCTCCCGCTCCTGGTCCTTCAGGTCTTCGCCCAAATCATCTGAGAGAAGCCGTTTGTTGCCCCTCCCCAGATCGTGCAGCTCAGGTACTGACATCACTAACCTGTTTTGTAAACACTCTTGCCTCAGGCAGGACCCCATCCTCTATCCTATCCCACCTCTGCGGTGCCACCCTTCTCACTTGTCAGAAGAAGAATGGGGGACTCCGGCCCATCGCAGTCGGCGAAGTCTTACGACGTTTGATATCTAAGTGCCTCGCCACGGCTTCTCGTCACACTGCCAACTGTACCCTTTCCCCTCTTCAATTGGGCGTGAGAGTCAAGGGTGGATGTGAGGCGATCATACACTCCGTCACTCAACTCCTAGCATCAACTCCACCCAATCGCAGCTGGACGCTCCTCCTTGATTTTCGAAATGCATCAACCGGGAGGCCATGTTGGTGGAATTACGCCAACGTGTTCCCGGTGTTGCTGCGTGGATGGAGGCTTGTTACTCTACTCAACCCTTACTTCATCTGGGGCCCTACTCTATTCGTAGCTGTTGTGGAGTGCAGCAGGGGGACCCCCTCGGCCCCTAGGTTTTGCCATCACCCTCCAGTCTATGGTGGAGCGAATCAAGGCTGAGGTCCCCAACCTCACAATCAATTCATGGTTCCTCGATGACGGGACACTTATGGGGTCACCTGAAGATCTCACGGCTGCCCTGAACATCGTTGAAGCAGAAGGTCCTGCGCTAGGTCTCCACCTTAACCGATCCAAATCTCTACTCTTCATCCCACAGGAGGAAGACTCTACAGTATCTTCCCTACCTTCGGAAATCCCTATTACTCGCCAAGGTTTTACTCTCCTGGGATGTCCTATTGGTCCACCTTCCTTCTGCGAAGCATCACTTCTGCACCAGGTTGAGAAGATCAAGGCCACCCTTGGTCGACTGGGGGATCTAGGCGATTCTCAACTGGAGACAACATTGCTCCGATCCTGTCTGTCTCTTCCCAAGCTTTCCTTCACCCTTCGGACATGCCCCCCTAGTCACATCTGTCATGCCTCGAGTGAGTTCGACCAAGCTGTACGTGAATGTTGGTGGACCCATCTCCCAGTGGTCTTGGCTAAAGGCTTCACTGCCTAGCAACCACGGTGGGCTCAATCTGCGGAGTGCTGCGCTTCACGCCCGTGCTGCCTTTGTTGGGTCTAATCAGCGCACATGTCCTTTGGTGGAGAGGATTTTGGGGCATCCACCTGGCCCTTCACCTCACTTGTCTCCGGCCGTAACTGCGCTTGCCTCGGCTGTCAACCGATCTGACTGGGTCGATCTAGACTCCGTCGATGTCCCCATCCGACAACATCCTCTCTCTGTGTCCATCGACGAGGCTGTCTATGACCGCCTAACCTCAACAGCTCCTGATACTCGCTCCAGAGCCTTGGTCCTTTCTTCCAGTCTTCCCCACGCTGGAGACTGGTTGAATGTCGTTCCTTCTGCCTCCCTTGGCCTTCACGTCCACGATCAAGAGTTCCGATACTCTTTGAGATACTGGCTGGGGGTCCCCCTCTACGGGAATGCCTATCAGTGCCCTGTATGTGGCCTCAATGCAAACACAATGGGACACCATCAAGTCGGCTGTGGGGGAAACGGGGATAGGATCTCTCGTCACAACAACATTAGAGATGTCCTGTTTACCGCAGCCCAAACAGCTGCCCTGGGCCCAAGAAAGGAGGCTCCCGGGGTGGTCCCCAATTCTAGTGCTCGCCCGGCCGACATTCTTTTGCCTAACTGGTGCCGCGGCAGACAAGCAGCCCTGGATGTAGCAGTCATATCACCCTTGCAGCAGCTGACTGTATCTGAAGCCGCCGCAGTTACCTCTGGTCATGCTCTTGAAGTGTGCGTCAGACGTAAACTCTCCGCAAATCTCCCTTCATGTCGTGCTGCTGGGGTCGAATGTGTGCCTATGGTGGTCGAGGTGCTTGGGGGCTGGGCTCCTGGCTCCATATCTACAATCGGAAATTTCCTCAGGCAAAGAGTTAATTCTGTAGACCCGTCACACTCTACGAAACACCTGTTTGGTCGTCTCGCCATCTTTCTCTGGCGTGGGAATGCCACCATGTGGCTTCGTCGGTCTCCTTCTCTCGCACCATCTTCTGACGGTCTTCCTCCTTCTGCCGTACGATCTAAACGGTCGTTTTTCACAATATTTATATTTTGTTTCCCCCCCCCAAACTGCTGTGCATTATTATTTCCAGTAGAGCGCGCACGAGCGGCCTCAATCGGACTGTTTACGCATTGGCTGACAGGCGCGAGGCAAAATATGCGCGTGCGCATTCCTAGTATAAACTGTGCATGGGAACCATTCAAGTCACTTACAGGTAAGTTACAATTGACTACAGCCAACATAACGGAGGGAAAATCACCACGAAAGAAGGCAATGAATGTGGGGTAATGGCCGGGTGGGCACTTATTAGAAGTGTAAAGTGTGCTTCAGCACGGCGAAGGAGAGTTGATAGAGCTCAGCATGGTGAAGGTGAGTTGATGGAACCAGAGACAATAGAAAAACAAACAAACTGCTGTTCAATGATGAAGAAGACCACTAGTACAGCAATGATTTGCAGAGTGTATATGAAACATCACATCAACAAACACACTGTGAATAGAAAGGTAAATTATCACCGGCCTTTGATCTATGATGTAGAGCATGCATAGGAGTCACATACAGGTACATGTATGCTACGAGGTACGAGGTAGAAAGGCAAGATACAACAAACAATTCAACTACACTGCCTGGACAGCTTTTTTCGCAAGGAAAAAAGGAGCTGCCCTGTAGGTGGGATTCGAACCGACGACATTCTGCCTGCAGTGCGCTCTACCAACTGAGCTATATTGTGTGTGTGTGTGCGTGTTGGTATAATTATTGCGATGTGATACACACAAAAAACACACTCACCAAACAACTATCCCAATTGTAGCCTGTAGGTACTGTAGCCCTTCTTGGAAGACTTCAGAAAGTCTGAAAAGGGAAGAATAACACAGAAACATGTTATTCTGAAGTGAGTATAGTATGTATGTCAGTGATAGTTGGAGAGCACAGGAAGTTGGACACACTCTCCCTGCAAATATTGGAGTAATGAGTGAAGACTGTGGGGATAAAGTAATGCTGTACTACGGAGTCTACAAGTCCTCCCCAAGTGTACGTGTCATTTCAACCTCTCTCCCCCTTTCACACACAAATCATACCCACCTCCTCACTCACTCACTCACTCACTCATCACACACAAACAGAAATACACAAAGGTCATCCCTAAACATAAAAAAACACTCTCTCCCTGTGTAATTATACACACGTGCACAACACACACAAACATACTCATGCTTTGTTTCACACGCTCACACACGGTCTTTTACAAATGCACACACTCTCCCTGCAGATATTGGAGTAATCAGTGAAGACTGTGGGGATAAAGTAAGAGAATGCCAGTCCTTCCCAAGTGTACGTGTCAATTCAACATCTCTCCCCCTTTCACACACAAATCATACCCACCTACTCACTCACTCACTCACTCACTCATCACACACACACAGAAATACACACACGTCATCTCTAAACATAAAAAACACACTCTCTCCCTGTGTAATTATACACACGTGCACAACACACACAAACATACTCATGCTTTGTTTCACACTCAAATGCTCACACACGGTCTTTTACAAATGCACACACTCTCCCTGCAGATATTGGAGTAATCAGTGAAGACTGTGGGGATAAAGTAAGAGAATGCCAGTCCTTCCCAAGTGTACGTATGATTTCAACCTCTCTCTCCCCCTTTCACACACAAATCATACCCACCTACTCACTCACTCACTCATCACACACAAACAGAAATACACACACGTCATCTCTAAACATAAAAAACACACTCTCTCCCTGTGTAATTATACACACGTGCACAACACACACAAATATACTCATGCTTTGTTTCACACTCAAATACTCACACACGGTCTCTTACAAATGCACACACTCTCCCTGCAGATATTGGAGTAATCAGTGAAGACTGTGGGGATAAAGTAATGCTACCATTGAGAATTCAAGTCCTTCCCAAGTGTACGTGTCATTTCAACCTCTCTCCCCCTTTCACACACAAATCATACCAACCTACTCCCTCACTCACTCACTCACTCACTCATCACACACAAACAGAAATACACACACGTCATCTCTAAATATAAAAAACACACTCTCCCTGTGTAATTATACACACGTGCACAACACACACAAACATACTCATGCTTTGTTTCACACTCAAATACTCACACACGGTCTCTTACAATTGCACACACTCTCCCTGCAAATATTGGGAGTAATCAGTGAAGACTGTGGGGATAAAGTAATGCTACCATTGAGAATTCAAGTCCTTCCCAAGTGTACGTGTCAATTCAACCTCTCTCCCCCTTTCACAAACAAATCATACCCACCTACTCACTCACTCACTCACTCATCACACAATTGTCCGGCATCATCGCATACTTGTAAAATATGAACTGTTTGAGTTTGAGTTGATGTTTGTCGAGGGGAGGAGCCAAGGGGCTGCAAGAGATTGAAGCAAGCCAATTACTACTGGCTATGTGTACATTGATAGAGTACACACCTTTGCATGCAGACAATGAGTGGCTTGAGTAAATAGAAACAAAGGTACTGTCCATTATCATAATTTTGCACACTGAGGAAGAGTATGAGGATGGTTGGCTTGTCTGGTCACCTTGTCTTCTCCACCTTTATCTTTCACTGCGCACATATCCTGTTTGAACATTTTTGGGTGGGTTTGTGCTGGCTAGGATTACTTGGAGGTGCCCCACAATGACCAGTGACCATTACAGATATCTGGGTGCACTCTGAGGTGGAGACAGTTTACAAAGTGGCCAGATAACCAGCAACTCAAAATTCACACTTTGAGAAGAGATTGTCCAAAGGCCTTTGATTAGTTGTCAGTGTTACTAGCCAAGTTGGCTTACTACAGCTATGCTTACTATAGGCTACTGGAACATCATTATCAGTATTAGAAATACTTGAATGCTATGACCTATATCACTAATAATGACTATCTGACTAAGTGATAATTTTTGTCAATCACACAGTCTTTAACTCAGGGAAAAGATCAGCATTCATAAACTGTCCATAGCCATTTTGATCACATCGAGGGCACTTGGTCTGTGGATTGTGGTAGAACACAGAATCACTGCCAGGTAGATTGCAGATAGTTCCTGGAACATAGGTACGGTAATTCTTCCCACACTCTTCACATGCCTGGATGACTGCTTCCGTCTCCACAAGGGCTAAAAATGTTAACAAAGGTGCTAAGTATGCAATCGGTATCACAGATCAATGAAGAAAAAAGAACATGCACATGATCAAAGACTTACAACGTTTTGCAGGCATTTCTTCGCCACATTGAGTCTTAAGGTCTTCACTTTTGCTCTCTTTCCCGAGTGAAGGATCAATCACGTCCTCACCTTCAATAGCTGTCTGTGCCATAAAAATTCACAAATGGTAGGCTATAGCTACTACGAACTGCGCATGCATGGTACTGCCAATTGAAGGGCTGGGCTTAGTATGCGTTTACTCATTGTCAGACAGACAGACAAACTCATAAACCAAGTACTGCAACCCTCACTGTCCATGCGCACCGAGGGTTAATGACTGAGGATAACCTCTACATTGGCCCCCACAACTTTGCGAAGCCTTTCCCCTTGCAACAGAATGAGTAATAAAAACTACCTTAATAACAACATATAGCTTATATCGGCTTGGCTGAAGAGAATTAGCAGAGTAAAACGATCCTAAGGTCCACATCGTCTCATCAGCCACTGAAATAGGCATTCCAGATGAATCTGCTAAACTGAGGGAATCAGTTGATTCTTGAAACTCAGAAAAATATATCCTCCTAGCCAAGCCCAACAAATCATGATGCTTTGTCTCTCTCTTTAGCTCGACCTTAGTAGGGTTGGGCTCAGGTAAATACTTCTTTCGAACTGCTTTACAGAGTGTGTGGTCATAGACCATGCCACCTAAAATAATCAGTAAAAATATTTTGTTATGTAAGCAGCCACTATAACCTGATACATTAAATGCACACCATCATCATCTTTGGTGGATCCTTTTTCACAGTTTGAACTGCAACCCTCTCCCGGGCTTTAGCTTTATACATTTTGGACAATTCTTGAAAATTTCCTGTAGTAAATTGACAGTTGTGTTGTACAGCAATTCTCCCTCACACGGGCAAGTTGTGTGACTGTGTCAGTAAATAACATACATACTGGCCTTCACAGTGTGTGAGGTTGGTGAGAAGCTATCACGATGAACGCATACTCATACATAGTGTAGTATCATGGCCTTCAAAAATTCACTGTGTATTGACTGAACAAGAGACAAGCATACCTTGCACACCCACATACAATGACAAGTGCTGTAACCTCGGCTTTAACTAAGTGTACCGAACATTCTTTTAAACCTTCCACCCAGAAAAGCTGAGTACTATGAACGTACTCTGAAAAGACGAACTTTCACCAACACCAATTCCAGGAGGGGAGATAGAGAGTCTTTGCACAAATTTTGGAGATGAGGTGCCAGACGACGGTTCACTTCCACTAGATCCTTTTCACATGGGGCTACTCTGTGTGCAGGAAACATCGTTCAATCATGCTACTTGTGACACGGGGAAGTGGAGAATCATGCCGAGATCATGCAGAACTAATGGCTTACATCTCCAGAACGTTCCACGCCTTGTTTGGAATCCCACAGCTTCAACAGAACAGCATGATCTCCAACTGTTAGCCTTGGGAGCAATTTCTCGAAATGTTCTTCCCTTAGAGACACAAACACCGTCATGCTTGACACATTCACATCCTCCAACACCGTAATGCTAGTGTCAGTTATCCCACACGTTGACAACACAAAACGAAACTTAGGCTCCATCCTGTCGTGTGCTAGCCACGTAAAACTGTGCTCCACGTGGAAGAACAAGAAGTGGTGGACACGTATGGCACGTACATACGCGTGCCATTCGCGAGCATGAAAGTGTTCTTTAATTAGAAATGAAAGCGAGGGTGGGGCCGGAGCCGAACGAGAACGTGAAGGTGAACGCGTATATAGGAATATGAGCGTGAACTGCTACAAGAACGCGCATGTCGCTTTCGGCTTCCTTATGCTAGCTCTGTGGAAGCTATGACCGACTGGCGAGTAGAACTCATAGTCCTACAGCTGGACGCGTCCAACTAGCGTACTATGGCGTAATGTTGACGCATGCGCACTGACACGACGTACGTCGTCGTGTCTGCAGTCGGGTTCAAAGTTCATGGATTTGTGCCGGGGACGCAGCACGTACATGGCCGAGCACATGGCATCACCGAGCGGGCCGGCCGTGTGTCCTGACCAAGCAGGGTAAGCTACAGATTTATAGTGGATAGGTGTAATTTACTCATGAGGAGTGGGTAAAGGTTCCTGGTGTAGACAGTTTGTGTGTTGAAATTTTGCCGCTCGACGTTACGACTGTACTCGCGTAGTCCGAGGGGAAACAAGCTGGGGATAGGCTGAGGACAAGTTGTACACGAGGTTTCCGTGTGGTATTCACACGTGAGTGCGTACAGCGTACCCCACAGGAATGAGCGCTGGTTTATACGTGTAGCATTCGCACGTGTGTGTGTACAGCATGCACCACAGGAATGAGCGCTGGTTACGTGTAGCATTCGCACGTGAGTGTGTACAGCAGACCACAGGAATGAGCGCTGGTTACGCAGTATAATATACCGTATAGCGGGATATTTTCGCTGGTGCAAAATTTAGCGAAATTGCCTCTTGGGACTCCAGAAGTTTATCAGCCCTAGCCTGCGGCTAGCTGAGTGCGCGCGCATGCGATTGCTTTTTGTGACTTATTCCCGCCAAGTACTTTGTCTTCCAGTTACGTATCGTGCTCTCTTTGAAGTTGGCGTGTGTAACTCCTTCGAACGACACTTTGCAGCCGCGATTCCGTGCATCGATGCTTACTGCGCTACCTTTGCTTGCTTTTGCGGCGTAAACTTTGCGTAGGTTCTCCTCTTCTCTAGCTGCTTCGTTGGGACACTGCTTACAGCCTCGTTGGCTTCTACTTTAGTGGAGGAGGTTATTTTCTTTGAAAGCGGTCCTCTGGGGTCTGGAATGGAGTCTGCTGCAGGCTGTAAGTAACGGTATAGAGCGATTTTACGTAGCACACGCAGCTAGATAGACCCCCTGCCTCCGCGCATGCGCATTTGTAGTACGCACCTTTTCGTTTTTGTCTTTTTTCGAGGGAAAACAAGCTGGGGATGAAGTTCCACGCGCAGCTGTGTAGAGTAGACCACAGGAATTGGCGCTGCTTTCACACTATGTATGGGAGTACATGTAACTCGACACTCTGAACTTTGGTTGTGGGTGGGCAATAATAATGTTGCATAAGTTTACTCCTGATCTCTCATATCCTACAGGAGTTCAGCCGTTAGTGAGCGGAGACGTATGTTGAGGACCAGGCAGATGTGCCAGAGGTAAGCGATCATGCACTTATTTGGACACACTAATGAGTAGTCTGTTGGGAAACGAGGGGTGGTGCTGATTTTGATTTGCTTATGCAGGGCCATGACAAAGGAGGAGGTGGTCATTGCTGGCCTGTTACATGAAACTCCCAACTACCTTGTTGAAAGTAGTGAACGTGGAAGGCAAAGGGAGAGGGGTTGTTGTTAAAGAGAGGGTTCCAATGGGAGCGTATGTATGTGAATATGAGGCGACAACTACATACCGACGTAAAGAAAGAGCGGACCACGAGGCGGAATATGCCAAGAACGACGAAGGGTGTTATATTTTGGACGTCTTGACAAAAGACGGGTGGATGTGCCTTGATGCGACCAGATCTATAACTCTGTTGGGCGCCTGCTGAACCACGCACCGAGAACAACTGCCACACTAACCCCCTACAAGCCTCTTTCGATTCGTGGTGTTTGGAGGGTGGGGTTCACAGCTACAAAGGAGTTGATGCCAGGAACAGAACTTACCTGGGACTATGGCTGTTGTCCGGGAGGGTTGGAGTGGCTAAAGCGGCGTCCAGGTCAGAATAATGCTTTCATAGTGTATCGTTACGAAAAGCTAATCCATTGCAGCAAGAGCAAAGGAGAGAGCTCTCCAATTCAGTGGGTTACTCACAATTTTTATTGGGCATGTGGAGTCTAAAGCTGATGTTGTATTTCACTGTACACTGAAGCCAGAGAAGTGGGTGCAGGTCAGGATAAAGAAAAGGAGGAAGTGGATGAGGAGGAGGAAGATGACGAAGGAGAAGTGGAGGATGAGGAGGAGGAGGAAAAAGACGACGAAGAAGTGGAGGAGGAAGGCGACGAAGGAGAAGTGGAGGAGGACGAGGAAGGGGATGACAAAGGAGGAATGGATGAGGAAGAACAGAATGACGAACAGGAAGCGAACGTGGATGAAGAGAAAGGTGAGAATGGATATCTGTGAATGCTGTGGTGTAATTTACTTTACACATTGCAGCCAGTGGGGGTGAGAGAGCTGATGAATTGGGTGGGTTGCCAAAGATCATTCTAAGTATTCCAAATCAAAAAGGGTGTCTTTTTGCAGAAGCAAGAGAAGTTGGTATTGTTGAGGACAAGGAAGAGGAAGAAAAGGATGTGGATGGGAGACCGGGTGAAGGTGTGAGGAGATTGCCATGATTCGAATAAGATTTTCCTTTTTCGGTTATAGATGTTGTGATTCTTGGCAGTGAGTCTCCCAAGGACAGTCACATGTTTCCAGAGAGTGAGAATTATGCCTGCAAGTGTCAATGTGATAGAGTTTGTTGGAACATCTTTCTTCTTGCAGTAGCACTTTCCACTCAGACATGCACTCGTAGGGAGAACTTGCCTGATGATGGTTAGTTGAACTATGTGATGGATGCTTATGGCAGATTGTATTCTGTTTTCAAAAGATGTCAAACAAGCTGCGAATCTTCTGAGACAACGACAGAGGCGCAAGTCGAGGAGTGATAGATGGGGCTTGCAAAGACGAAGGCGGACAAGTCACAGACGCAGTTGTCCTGCATCTCTCTCACGCTCCATGAAGTACACGAGGAGGCCTCAAAGTCATTTCAAACACAAATTCCGTTCGGGTAAGGGCATTTGTATGAGAAAAGTTGGATGTATCCCCTGTCTCTTCTGCCACAGCTTCAATTGTATTGAGCGAGGATCGTCCAAAAGCCTCTGCGTCTGGACACCAGTTGCCCTCCAGTCCAGGTAAGGGATTGATGTAGTACAGCGTGCTTGCCTGTATTGCTTCTGTTAATAGAGTGGCATGTGGGTAATGTGAATAACAGAAGATGGTAGGCCTTTCCCATTTACACATGTTGGGGTACCGGTAGTTGAGACTAACAAATCTTAAAATGATGCCTGCCAAATTGTGATCAGTCATAAAATGGTTCCCGACAACTTTTGGTCGGTGTTACTGCTCTAGAGCAGTGCCTGAAGTACTTGCATGTTGTTCACGAGTTCTATGTTCACTGTCGGCCATGTGTGGTGCCTGACAGATACTCCGTCCAGAACCTCTACCAAAAACCCCTCTGTTTCTGTGAAGGCAGTCAAAAGTAAGCAACTTTTTTTGCTGTTTTACAAGTGTCGTAATTCCAGGAAAGCTATGGGGAATTCAGCCCCTGGAGGGGGACATTGAAGGTTAGCTTATAGAGGATAAACGTGCAACTACATATAGCCTCAGGCATTTATTTCTTCACTCCTCAAACTTGTTAACGGCAGCACACATAGAGATGAAACTTGGTACGCATGCATATTACATCATTTGCATGACGACAACAGGCATTTTTTATTTTAGGCTTGCCCCCTTTGGTAGTATATAAAAATAGAGTAGAGGCAAGTAAATAAAAATCGTGCGAATTTGAAAAAAGAGGCATATAGGGATGGAAAGGGAGACAAGAGAGGGATGGGATACATGAAGCATGGTTAATGAGCAGATTTGAGCATGCTGACACCCCAACCCATCACACAATCCTATATTGTTGCCTAGGTGAAGTATTAAACATTCACCATTACAGTACAAAAATGTCATGCTACTGAGTGTCCTGCGTCTTGTTATTGGGCAATTGGAGTTTGTGTCCTGTTGACTAGCTCCGTATCCACATCAGTTTCAGCGCCGTCCAAGCACACCCAAGGAGCTGTGTCTGGCAGCAGCCGCCTGACTCTTCCAGGGCAGTCTAGCAGCGGCCACCTAACTCTTCCACGGCAGACCACTTTTCTCATACAAATGCCCTTACCCAAACGGAATTTGTGTTTGAAATGACTTTGAGGCCTCCTCGTGTACTTGATGGAGCGTGAGAGAGATGCAGGACAACTGCGTCTGTGACTTGTCCGCCTTCGTCTTTGCAAGCCCCATCTATCACTCCTCGACTTGCGCCTCTGTCGTTGTCTCAGAAGATTCGCAGCTTGTTTGACATCTTTTGAAAACAGAATACAATCTGCCATAAGCATCCATCACATAGTTCAACTAACCATCATCAGGCAAGTTCTCCCTACGAGTGCATGTCTGAGTGGAAAGTGCTACTGCAAGAAGAAAGATGTTCCAACAAACTCTATCACATTGACACTTGCAGGCATAATTCTCACTCTCTGGAAACATGTGACTGTCCTTGGGAGACTCACTGCCAAGAATCACAACATCTATAACCGAAAAAGGAAAATCTTATTCGAATCATGGCAATCTCCTCACACCTTCACCCGGTCTCCCATCCACATCCTTTTCTTCCTCTTCCTTGTCCTCAACAATACCAACTTCTCTTGCTTCTGCAAAGACACCCTTTTTGATTTGGAATACTTAGAATGATCTTTGGCAACCCACCCAATTCATCAGCTCTCTCACCCCCACTGGCTGCAATGTGTAAAGTAAATTACACCACAGCATTCACAGATATCCATTCTCACCTTTCTCTTCATCCACGTTCGCTTCCTGTTCGTCATTCTGTTCTTCCTCATCCATTCCTCCTTTGTCATCCCCTTCCTCGTCCTCCTCCACTTCTCCTTCGTCGCCTTCCTCCTCCACTTCTTCGTCGTCTTTTTCCTCCTCCTCCTCATCCTCCACTTCTCCTTCGTCATCTTCCTCCTCCTCATCCACTTCCTCCTTTTCTTTATCCTGACCTGCACCCACTTCTCTGGCGTCAGTGTACACTGAAATACAACATCAGCTTTAGACTCCACATGCCCAATAAAAATTGTGAGTAACCCACTGAATTGGAGAGCTCTCTCCTTTGCTCTTGCTGCAATGGATTAGCTTTTCTTAACGATACACTATGAAAGCATTATTCTGACCTGGACGCCGCTTTAGCCACTCCAACCCTCCCGGACAACAGCCATAGTCCCAGGTAAGTTCTGTTCCTGGCATCAACTCCTTTGTAGCTGTGAACCCCACCCTCCAAACACCACGAATCGAAAGAGGCTTGTAGGGGGTTAGTGTGGCAGTTGTTCTCGGTGCGTGGTTCAGCAGGCGCCCAACAGAGTTATAGGATCTGGTCGCATCAAGGCACATCCACGTCTTTTGTCAAGACGTCCAAAATATAACACCCTTCGTCGTTCTTGGCATATTCCGCCCTCGTGGTCCGCTCTTTCTTTACGTCGGTATGTAGTTGTCGCCTCATATTCACATACATACGCTCCCATTGGAACCCTCTCTTTAACAACAACCCCTCTCCCTTTGCCTTCCACGTTCACTACTTCAACAAGGTAGTTGGGAGTTTCATGTAACAGGCCAGCAATGACCACCTCCTCCTTTGTCATGGCCTGCATAAGCAAATCAAAATCACACCACCCCTCGTTTCCAACAGACTACTCATTAGTGTGTCCAAATAAGTGCATGATCGCTTACCTCTGGCACATCTGCCTGGTCCTCAGCATACGTCTCCGCTCACTAACGGCTGAACTCCTGTAGGATATGAGAGATCAGGAGTAAACTTATTATTGCCCACCCACAACCAAAGTTCAGAGTGTCGAGTTACATGTACTCCCATACATAGTGTGAAAGCAGCGCCCATTCCTGCGGTCTACTCTACACAGCTGCACGCGGAAACTTCATCCCCAGCTTGTTTTCCCTCGAAAAAAGACAAAAACGAAAAGGTGCGTACTACAAATGTGCATGCGCGGAGGCAGGGGGTCTATCTAGCTGCGTGTGCTACGTAAAATCGCTCTATACCGTTACTTACAGCCTGCAGCAGACTCCATTCCAGACCCCAGAGGACCGCTTTGAAAGAAAATAACCTCCTCCACTAAAGTAGAAGCCAACGAGGCTGTAAGCAGTGTCCCAACGAAGCAGCTAGAGAAGAGGAGAACCTACGCAAAGTTTACGCCGCAAAAGCAAGCAAAGGTAGCGCAGTAAGCATCGATGGACGGAATCGCGGCTGCAAAGTGTCGTTCGAAGGAGTTACACGCCAACTTCAAAGAGAGCACGATACGTAACTGGAAGACAAAGTACTTGGCGGGAATAAGTCACAAAAAGCAATCGCATGCGCGCGCACTCAGCTAGCCGCAGGCTAGGGCTGATAAACTTCTGGAGTCCCAAGAGGCAATTTCACAAAATTTTGCACCAGCGAAAATATCCCGCTATACGGTATATTATACTGCGTAACCAGCGCTCATTCCTGTGGTCTGCTGTACACACTCACGTGCGAATGCTACACGTAACCAGCGCTCATTCCTGTGGTGCATGCTGTACACACACACGTGCGAATGTTACACGTATATACCAGCGCTCATTCCTGTGGGGTACGCTGTACGCACTCACGTGTGAATACCACACGGAAACCTCGTGTACAACTTGTCCTCAGCCTATCCCCAGCTTGTTTCCCCTCGGACTACGCGAGTACAGTCGTAACGTCGAGCGGCAAAATTTCAACACACAAACTGTCTACACCAGGAACCTTTACCCACTCCTCATGAGTAAATTACACCTATCCACTATAAATCTGTAGCTTACCCTGCTTGGTCAGGACACACGGCCGGCCCGCTCGGTGATGCCATGTGCTCGGCCATGTACGTGCTGTGTCCCCGGCACAAATCCATGAACTTTGAACCCGACTGCAGACACGACGACGTACGTCGTGTCAGTGCGCATGCGTCAACATTACGCCATACAGAAGTCAACACAATTTCTGTAGTTATTCTTCAGTTCGTCGAGCATAATCATATCAATAATTACAGGCATAATTACACAGCATGTATAATATAACAAGAAATTAAAAATCCTGCGAATTTCATAAAAGAGGCATAAAGGGATGGCACAAAAAGATAAGGGAGACAAGATAGGGATGGGATACATTAAGCTAGGGCTAGGGCATGCTGCAACTGAAGTTCATAGACTAAGTAGGGCTAGGGCTAGGGCATGCTGCAACTGAAGTTCATAGACTAAGTAGGGCTGGGGCTAGGGCATGCTGCAACTGAAGTTCATAGACTAAGTAGGGCTAGGGCTAGGGTATGCTGCAACTGAAGTTCATAGACTAAGTAGGGCTAGGGCATCGATACTTAAGTTCATAGACTAAGTAGGGCTAGGGCTAGGGGATCGACACTTAAGTTCATAGACTAAGTAGGGCTAGGGCTAGGGCTAGGGCATTGATACTTAATAAAGGCCTAGGGCTTCGGTACTTAAGTATTCGGGCTAGGGCCTGGATAATTAATTATTGGACTAAGGTAGGGCTAAGGCCTAGGGGCTCCATACTTAAGTGTTTGGCTAATGTAGGGCTAGGGCCTCGATACTTAAGTATTGGGGCTAGGGCCTCGATAATGAAGTATTGGACTAAAGTAGGGCTAGGGCCTCGATACCTAAGTATTGGACTAAAGTAGGGCTATGGCCTAGGGCCTCGATACTTAGGTATAGCTAGGGCCTAGGGCGTCGATACTGAAGTGTTGGGGTAATGTAGGGCTAGGGTCTAGGGCGTTGATACTTAAAGGAGGCCTTGATACTTAAGCATCGGACTAAAGTAGGGCTAGGGCTAGGGCCTCGATACTAAGTATAGCTAGGGCCTAGGGCGTCGATACTGAAGTGTTGGGGTAATGTAGGGCTAGGGTCTAGGGCGTTGATACTTAAAGGAGGCCTTGATACTTAAGCATCGGACTAAAGTAGGGCTAGGGCCTAGGGCCTCGATACTTAAGTATAGCTAGGGCCTAGGGCGTCGATACTGAAGTGTTGGGGTAATGTAGGGCTAGGGTCTAGGGCGTTGATACTTAAAGGAGGCCTTGATACTTAAGCATCGGACTAAAGTAGGGCTAGGGCCTAGGGGCCTCGATACTTAAGTTTTGTAGTACAGGAGGGCTAGGGCCTAGATACTTAAGTATTAGACTAAAGTAGGAGTAGGGCCTAGGGCCTCGACACTTAAGTATTGGATAGGGCTATGGCCTAGGGCCTCGATACTTAAGTGTTTGGAGAAGGGCTAAGTCCTAGGGCTTCGGTACTTAAGTATTCGGGCTAGGGCCTAGGGCCTCGACACTTAAGTATTGGATAGGGCTATGGCCTAGGGCCTCGATACTTAAGTGTTTGGAGAAGGGCTAAGTCCTAGGGCTTCGGTACTTAAGTATTCGGGCTAGGGCCTAGGGCCTCGATACCTAAGTATTGGACTGAGTGGGGATAGGGCCTAGCTAAAGTAGGGCTAGGGCCTAGGGCCTCGATGCTTAAGTTTTGGAATAAAGGAGGGCTAGGGCCTAGATACTTAAGTATTGCTCTAATTTGGGGTAGGGCTAGGGCATAGGGCCTCGATGCTTAAGCATTGGACTAAAGTAGGGCCTAGGGCCTCGATACTTAAGTATTGGACCAAAGTAGGGCTATGGCCTAGGGCCTGGATACTTAAGTTTTTGGCTAATGTAGGGCTAGGGCCTCGATACTTAAGTAGGGCTAAGGCCTCCATACTCAAGTATTGGGGCTAGGGCCTCGATACCTAAGTATTGGACTAAAGTAGGGCTAGGGCCTAGGGCCTCGATACTTAAGTAGAGCTAGGGCCTAGAGCCTCAATACTTAAGTGTTGGGCTAATGTAGGGCTAGGGCCTAGGGCCTTGATACCTAAGTATGAACTAAAGTAGGGCTAGGGCCTCGATACTTAAGTTCTTGACAAATGTAGTGCTAGGGATAGGCGTCGATGCTTAGGTGTTGGACTAAGTAGGGCTAGGGCGTTGATGTGGTGAATGTGGTCGAGAGCGAAGAAACATTTGGCCGATCGTCATTTGCAGATCGTTTTCGCAAAGATAAAGAGGTAACGGATCATCGAAAAGGGATGTCCATGTCAGACGGCAACGCCAGGTCCTTGCGTCTCCGACCAACCTCTCTTCCTCCGCCACATAGAATAAACTAGGAGAAGGAGCCATAGCACTGGACAAATTTGCAACTATCCTATCTGATCATAGGTGCATAATTGTATAAGGATAGTTCAGTAGTATCTGACCAGCAGTTGATAGGTAGTAGTCAGTTGAACTAAACTATAGTATTTCCTTTGGTATGGATAGCTGTAGTTTGTTAGTTCTGACCAGCAGTTGATAGGTAGTAGTCAGTTGAACTAAACTCTAGTATTTCCTTTGGCATGGATAGCTGTAGTTTGTTAGTTCTGACCAGCAGTTGATAGGTAGTAGTCAGTTGAACTAAACTCTAGTATTTCCTTTGGCATGGATAGCTGTAGTTTCACATAGCATGATAGCACATGGATAGGTGGGTGTCTATCCAGACATGATATTCACTGGAAATTTGAAGTATGCAGTAGTATTTTCCTTTGTTGCTGATAGGTGCACTAGCTATACAACGACTCAAGCATGTGCTTTGTTAACGTTGTTGCAGCTATCTACTTCTTGGGGTCATAATCTATCATGGAGTTTACATGGCACAGAATATTGAATGCATATATACAGTATATAGTTGTCTGATAGCATGCATGTAGTGTAATCATAGCATTTTTACATGATAATTATCGTCATTATTAATTTTATGGAGCACTTTCTCGCTCTGCTACTTTAACGCTAATCAGTGAAAGAGTTGTTATAAGATTTTCTGTCACTTTAACGCCATGGCCAGCCAGTACTATTGACACAAAATTAATAGTCCATAAAAGCAACACAGCCAGTGATGTTCCTAACTCTTAACAGTACGGAGAAACAAACAGTACATTACCAATAGCATCAGTCAATTTGTCAACTAGAGAAACAGTTCTACATTTGACAACATCAATGGGAGAAATGGTACAAAAATAAAATATGTCGCATTCCCAAATAGTCACTGGCTTTCCACAAATATCTTTTTCAGGGTGGTTCTTAAAAAAATGGAGACACGCCATAATGTGAGAGACTGGAGTTCCATCAACTACAGTGGATACTTTGGCAAAGTACTCAATCCTTGCTGGTCGAGCATCAGCTTCGAGCTGTGCAATAACAATACTTGTGTTCTTTATACGGCTCTCACTACTGCCATACACTACTCCTTTGATTCTCATTGTTGTATATTTAGCATAAGTTGAACAAACCTCTATTTTTGAACACATAGGGTGGGTTATGGTAGTATGGAATGGAATATGTGCTCTGCTGCTTGATGCTCCGCCGAAACCTGGTACCACTCATCTTTGAATTCATCATAGTACAACCGCTTATGAGCACGAAAGGTTTTGTAGGACAGTAGCTTGTTGCAGTGAGGACAAAAACGCCGGTCGGTGTAGGAACAAGACGGCACGACACGGCCATGGCGGTAAAAGCTCGCGCACGCGCATATATTCACACGTGAAAAACACGTGATGCAATATTGGCGCCAAAATCGTAGACAGAGTTAGTAGGGGGACACGTATATACTTCGATCGCTGGTCCGTACGTGCGATGGCCTGGTGCGCCAAAGGAAGAGGTAATCGCGAGTTAGAGGGTGGATATCTTCTCAGTGACTCTGATTCTGAAGAAGAAGGCCTCGTCGACGACGACTCCATGAACGATACCGATCCTCCGCTCGACTCCGAACTTGAACTGGACCCTGCAGATGAGGAACTGCACCATGAACCCTGAAGAAGATGAGTCGCCCCCGGAACTGGACGATCAGCCGACGAAGCGACGTCGAGTGGAAGAGCCACCTTCGGGTCCCGTGAACCAGGGGTGTCGTTCAACACCTCGTGCTCCAAAAACAAGGGCTATTGTCTGCTGGGCATACTCCTGTTATTCGGAGGAACGTTTCTTCTCAGCCAAAGACCCTTAATATGGACTCAGGAAAGAAGGATGGTGATGAGTCGCTCTCTTCAGTGCTTGGCAATATCACCAATATGCTATAGCTAGGAGCTGTTATTGAAAGGCTCGACAAGACAGAATCAAAACTTGAATCTATGGAGCGGAAACTCAATACACCTTCCTCTTCCAGTGCTGGGTCTGGGACGGATAACAGGAAGGTCCCAACAATTGTCAGGGTAAGTGAGGTGTTGCGACTCTTTTGAGTGTACTGTATCACCATGCCGTTTTGTCTTTTTTTGAAGACCGAGACCAGGAAGATTTACAAGACTTTGCTTGATGGTGACGAATTCACTGGGTTTGATCTTTCCCCTGGGTAAGTATATCCTCACTGTGTGTTAGGCTGCCTGTATATTATACCACCACCTTCTAGAACAACGTACAAGGACAGTGTAAACCAGAGTGTAGCAAAACTGCTCGTGAAGGAAGTGTGCACAACTCATGAAATTCTCTCATGCTTACTCTGGTTCTTTTTGTGTTGCAGCTGCTGCCTACACTTATTACAAAAGCCTCTGTCAAGATGAGACACAGAAAAGAAAGGGCATCTATGCTAAAAGGAAAACGCAGTGCCGTCGCCGAGAAAGGGTCGTCAGGGTAAGTGTAACACGAACATGCTTTGCTCACATTTTTAGGCATGCAGTTTTATGCTTCCTTAATGAATCATGTGCAACATTGCCAGCCGCGGGCGGATCCTGTCGCGTATGGCCGACACGGCTTGTAATCGGTTTAAGTATTGGACTAAATAATATTTAACAGTGATCCGTTAAATCATTACGCGATTTAGAAGTCCGAGGCCCTGGGCTGTAGCTACTAAGGGCGCCGAGGGCCTTCTAAATGGTGTGCGTGATTCAATTGGACGAGCCTGCCTACACTTATTTAGACGGGCGCAGGCTCTGCGCGCCCTTAGCAAACAAACGCGATGTTTTGGCGAAGACATCATGGAGTGGTTGGAAAGCTTCGCAAAAAGACAGCCACAACCGACGTATACGGCCTAGAGGCAAGTGCAAGCTACAAACTGACGCTACGGCTCAGCCACCAACGCCGTCTAACGACGAGCATCTTGGTCCATGTGCACGCTGGGACGCAGCTACGCCGCGTCTCCTCCTTTTTCCTCCCTGTAATACTATTTTTGAACTCAAGCGCGTGGTTGTCTAATTCACGCGCACCCTACTATATGCGACGCGCAAAAAAAAACGTCCCCGGGCACTTTAAGAATCCACGAACAACGTGAAATCTACTAGATTAGAAGACATGAAATTCAGGTGATGATCTCTAAAGTAGGGCTAGGGCCGTAGGTGGCCGTGATACTAAGATATTTGGACTAAAGTAGGGCTAAGGGCCTCAATACTTAAGTAGAGCTAGGGTCCTAGGCCTCGATACTTTAGGTATTGGGCTAATTAGGGCTAGGGCCTAGGCCCTAAGTATTGGATTAAGTAAGGGCTAAGGACCCTCGCTACGTTTTGGACTCATGTTGGTGTAGGGATAGGGCGTCGAGTAACTTAAGTGTTTGACTGAAGTAGGGCTAGGGCTAGTGCATCGATACTTATGGTGTTTGGGCTATGGCTAGGGGGCATCGATACTTAGTGTTGGACTAAGTAGGGCCAGGGCATTGATGGCGTTGAATGTGGTCTAGAGTGAAAGAAACATTTGTACTAATTAGGTATCGATACTTAAGTGTTGGACTGAGTAGAGCTAGGGCTGGGGATAGATTACTTCAGCCTTTAAGAAGGGCTAGGGCTTGGGCATGGATACTTAAGTATTCTGACATCATCCAGGGAAATGTCCTCCCAGGACACTGTTCCCCAGTGTCCTCTGGGGCACAGTTCCCCATTGTCCTCTGGGGCTGCAGTGTCCTCCAGTGTCCTATGATGGCAATGTCTTCCCCTCTTGTGTACTCTGGTGCAGGCTTCCCAATTGTCCACTGGTGTCCTCCAGGGCACAGTTCCCCATTGTCATCTGATGTCCTAGGTGGTAATGTCCTCCAGTGCTTGAATGTCCTCCGGGCTAGGGCTAGGGGCAATGTCCTCCAATGTCCTCCAGCCCTGCAATGTCCTCCGGGTTAGGGCAAGGTCAGTGTCCTCCAATGTCCTCCTGTTATCCAATGTAGCTTCCAGATTCACAAGGGGAACAAGGTTTGTAGACTTGTACTGTTCGGAGTTCGGAGTGGTTCGACTGCATTGAACTTCTGATATTGATATTGCATGACAGTGTTCATAAAATTTAATTATTTGCCTGTATGACATATTTCTGACATGTTATCATTGATCATAGATGATTGGTCGGTGCATGTGTACAAGCAAACTAACAGAAACAACAAGACTACTGAACAAGGGTGAACAAGGGTGAATAAGAACAACAAGGGATTATACATTCAGGACAAGTATTTTGGGCGGTTACATTCGGCATTCAGGACAAGTATTGGGTGGTTATATTCAGGATAGTATAGTTGGGCGGTTACAAGTATTGGGTGGTGGTTACATTCAAGACAAGTATCGTACGATTGTACGAAACTTGTCCTGAATGTTTTTCGGGGTGCGTTCCAGCGATAATTTTCGCCTTTTAGGCGTTTTGTTCACTAGTAGGGTTTCACTTTCTGGTGGAGTTGGGGTCTCCCCTCTTGCTCTCTTACTTTCTGGGCTTTTCCTTCCTGTTCCTCTCTCTTCTTGGTTTTCTGGGCTGTGTTTGCTCATCCCTCTCTCTTCCGGATCCTGGCTGTCGCTCTTGCTGTCTTACTCTTTCGGCTCTGTTCTGAGCTCTTCCTTCTCTTTCCTCTCTCTTCTCGGTTGTCCAGACTGTGCTCACTCTTTCTCGACATGTGTTTTCTCATCCGTCTCTCTTCCCAATCCTGGCTGTCCCCTCTTGCTCTCCTACTCTGTGGGCTTTGTCCTGGGCTCTTCCTTCTCTTTCCTTTCTCTTCTCGGTTGTCCAGACTGTGCTCACTCTTTGTTGATGGGTGTTTGCTCATCCTTCTCTCTTCCCGATCCTGGCTGCTCTCTTACTCTTTTCTCTGTTCTCGTTCCCCCCTCTCGAGCTCTCGCCTGTCGTTATCCGTCCATAGTCTTCCCCCCCTCTGCCAATGAGTGTCTGAATGGTTTGGTAGGTTGCTACCGAATCTTTCCTCATGGGGGCTTGGTAGTACTGGCAGGCTGTCGCGATACTGTGCGACAGAGACTGGGACACAGCCTCCCTCATCAGCCCTTCAATACGCTTGTTGCGTATTTCGACGTCTTTTCTGAAGGTTGTTGAGGTGGTGAGGCTGTGTTCCAGAGCACAGGTGGCACGAGCGATTATTCTTTCAAGATGGACCACTGGGCTCCCGTCAAAGTTGGGGAACGCGAGATTTGTTTCTGGAATGTGTTCCAGAACATTCATCCAGATGTTGAGGAGTTTGGTTGTGTTATCGTCTGAGACGAGGACAGCCGGCCCTGTCTGTCCTGTGATAGTAGAGAGGACCAGAGTTATACTAGTTTTGGGGTCAAGGCTGGGGCAGAGACTGACCTGTCTTGTGATGCTTGACAAGTATGATTGCCCGGTCGAATTGCCCGGGGAGCCGTGATCGCAGACCTTTCAATACCTCCTGTTTGGTTGCCCCCGTAATAGCACTGGGCCTCTGGACTTTCTACATGCGTGCAAAGACAGTTTGATAGGAAAGTGGAAGGCTGTGGCAGCATAAAAACTTACAGGTACATGAGACGTGCAGCAAGTAGACCCAGGCAGGTGTTATACTTGCTCTTGGTAAGGTGGCCCTGGAGGATGGCGGCGGCATGTTTTCTGAAGACAGCCGCAATGGCAGGGTCTTCTCTGAACTGTCGAACTGCCGCCAGAGAGTTGGACCCACCCTCCAGGGTTCTTTCCAGTAGCTGGTACCTGCCCTTCTTGGTCTTTGCTTTGTTGAAGCTTTTATAAATAGCCGGAAGGTGCTCTAGGCACCTGCTGCCCCTCCTAAGTTGCGCATCATCTTCAATCTGTGGGGGAGAACAGTTGTGCATATTGCAACACTGTGGTGTATTTGACAACTCACTGTGAGTGTTAGGAATCTGACTGCAATCTTGTGCGAAGCACTCGGTGTAAAATTCCACTGGGGCCCATACCACCGGTCGAGAGGCTCTTCAAGTAGCCCTCAATGGGCCAATGTCGAGGAGCCGTCTCTCTTCGACGTCCTTGTTGAGGTGGTAGAGGTACTTGGCTACATCGCGTGCCATTTGCATAGCCGTGGAGGAGTTCCTGTTCCTCCTGCATGGGTCTGAGGTGGCTTTCAAACGACTCGAGAAAGGTGCCTCCGGAATGGAAGGGCAGCGCCTTGTGGCGAGGAGGGGGGTCTTCGATGTTGAAGGCCTTGAGGGCACTGTAGAGGTGGATGGCTGTGCTGTAAACAGGCTGATGGTACAAATTACACCTGATCTCTTGACAGGGTTGGGGATTTTCAACTTCATTGCCTCGCTTGGGGCGCGCATTTTCTTCTGCGAATGCAGCGGCCTGTAGCTGTCCATCTTGTGGACTTTGCCAAATGCTGCCCATTTTCTGCACTGGACCCTGAGGCAGCAGTCAACCACAGGGCACCAGAAATAATTTCGTTTGTACCCTGTAGTTCATCTGCGCCGGGCGCCCTCTCTGCTCTTCTGTGTTGTCTCCTCCCCTCTGTTGGCCTCCCGTATGTCTTCCCCACTCTCGTCATCCCTCACCACCTTGTCCCTCATAATCCCCCTGCACCATCTCAATCTCCTCGTGTTGTTCTAGTTCGTTGTCCCCCTCGTTCCAATCTCCTGCCCCCTCACTCGCCTCCTCCCATCCGCCAGATGAAAGACTTCCCACCTCCTCCTCTCCCTTCCTCCCTCCGCCAGCTGTATGACTTCCCACCTCCTCCCATTCGTCACATACTACTCCGTCACTCACCACTCCTCCCTTTCTCCTTTCTCCTCCTCTTCCCCCTTACCCCCCTCCTCTTCTTGGCCCTCAGACAGCACCCACTCCTCCCCCTTACTCTGCATGCTCTGCTTTAATATTTCCTCCTGCGTGTGCGCTGCCTTGCTCTCTCGCTCCTCCCCTCCGCCGGCTGTAAGATCTCCTCCTCTCCTCTTCTACCCTCCTCCCTTCTCCATATACTCCCCTCCCTCCTCGCGACTGATAGTTTCCCTCCTCCTCTCATATCGCTCCTCCCCTCCCCGCTTACTCTCTCTCTCCTTCTCGCAGACACTCCTCTACCCCTTACCCCCTCCGCTGGCCTTAAGATTTCCCTCCTCTCTATTCTCCTCCTCCCCTCCGCCGGCTGTAAGAATTCTCTCCTCTCTTATTCTCCTCCTTCTCTTTACCCAGCTCCCCTCGGCTGTATGAACTTCTTCCCTCCTCTTCTTCCTCCTCCTCTGCTGCTGCCCTTACATCCTCTCCCTCTTGCTCTTTTCTCTCCTCTTCTCCTCCGTTCCCTCACCCCCCTCATCCCCTCTGCCAGTTTTAACACTTCCCTCCTCCTCTCCTGTCCCCTCCTGCCCTTTGCTAGCCGCCGTGATGTTCCTGGCCCTCTTTTTCATCCACATTAGGGACCGCACTCCGTAGTCGTAGTTGAGCTCCTCGTCAGGCCTGATATACCTCAAGGCCAACAGAACCAACCTCCATTTGCCCCTGACGTGGAGGGGCCTCGATAGTT